ATACATAGCGGAAAGAGGAAGCTTGAGAGTTCATTCATAAGGTTGATGCTATATGAAACAAAACGGCGACTGACTCTGGATGTTCTGCTTCGGATACCACGAAACCTCCTCCCAGAAGGTAACAAGGAAAACAGATTGTGAAGAGGATGTGTAATGTCCCAAACAATCCTGTGGACCCTTCTCAAGCATAGCTTATATGCTATGTCCTGAATAGAAGGAAGTGAACTACCAATAATCTTTTCTGCCATCCTCACCACTCTGTACCGCCTTCCTGTCTGAAGCAGTAATGCTTCCAAACCAGGCTGTAATGCTATACGACAGGATGTGCTTGATCGTCCCTCTATAGAAAGTGATATGGACAGGGGAAGGAAGGTGTACTTTTCTCATGTGACGCAGAAAATGCAGGTGCTGCTGTGCCCACTTCACAGTGTCTCACTGTTGAGCGACCAAGCCAGCCTACTTGTTAGCCGCACACCCAGAAACTTGATGCTGTTAACCACCTCCACAGATGAAGTATTAATACACAGAGATGTGTGGCTATGCCTGCTTTTTCTAAAATCAACAATGATCTTTCGTTTTTCCAACATTTAAAACAAGCCTGTTTTTATTACATCAGTTCATCAAACCCTCTATCTCCTTGCGGTAAGCAACCTCATTGTCATTCTGAATAAGTGCTGTTGTATCATCCACATACTTCACAATATGGTTGGTGGCAAATCTTGCACAACAGTCATGGATCAACAGGGTGAACAACAGCAGACTTAGGACACAGCCTGGAGAAGAACCTGTGCTGAAGGAAATGGTGTTAGAAATATTAGTCCCAACTCGCACATACTGTGGCCTATCAGTAAGAAAATGAAGAATCCAGTTGCACAAAGGAATATTAAAGCCTAAAAGCCCAGCTTGTCTACTAGATGCTGAGGAATGATTGTATTAAATGCCAAACTGAAGTCGGCAAACAGCATTCGCATATGAGTATTTCCTTCCTCTTAAGTGTGTCAAGCTCAAGTGGAGAATAGAAGAAATAGCATCCTACATAGAGCGATTTGGATTGTAAGCAAACTGAAGTGAGTCGAATGCTGGAGGGAGGCTAGATACAATAATGTCCTTTATCAGCCTCTCAAAACATTTCATAATGATGGATGTAAATGCAATCAGATGGTAATCATTGAGGCCCATAATTGTAGACTTTTTTGGCACTGGCAAAAAAACGGCCATCTTACAACACGATGGGATCACTGCCTGCTGCAGTGAAAGATTGAAAATCTATGTAAGAACACAAGCCAATGCATCTGCCCATTCCCTAAGAACCAGTTATATTATCTGTGGGCCTTCTGCCTTCCAAATGTTAACTTTCCGCAATGTCCTCCGGACAAAAGTAACATCAAAGCTAAACATTTCGTCAGGATGGGGCACAGCTTTCCTCGCAGGTGTGCTTTTTGATGCCTCGAATCTTCAAAAAAGTGTCTTCGGCTCATTTTAAAAGTCTGTGTTGGCCTTACAACATGATGGAGCCACCTTATAGACTGTAATGGCCTGAATACCTTGCCACATACACCTGGTGTTTGTCGGAAAAAAGTTCTGAACTTTCTGACAATAGGCTTGTTTTGCTTTTTTTATGGTGCTTTTCAAATTAGCTCTGGCTGTTCTAAGTGCCAGTGTATCACTGGATTATAAAAGCCGCATTCCTTGTTTTCAACATCTTGCAAACCTCATATGTCATCCATATGCCCTCACAATAATGTTTTTAAGAACACAGACATCTTCAATGCACTTTTGAATATATGCATACACAGTAGTGGCATACTACTCTACATTTATATGCTGGTTATCAGTTGCTGCTTCTTTAAACATGCCCCAATCTGGGCACTCAAAGCAATCTTGTAATCCTTGGTTTCTCTCTGAGTAATAAAGGCTTATATGCTGAAATAAGCAGCACTGAGAAATGGCCAGAAGAGCCCAGGTGAGGACAGGGGGCAGCTTTGAATGCATTCTTGATGTTAGAATAAGCAAGATCCAGTGTATTCCCCACTCTGGGTTGCAAATTGATGGAAATGGGGGAGAGTAGCTTTCAAATCAACTTGATTAAAGTCACCCACTACAATAAATACACCATATAAATTGCTTTTCCACAGTAGAGCAGACTTCTTCAGGAAATGGTAGACTTGTTGACAGAGATTTGATAGCTGTTTGTCTGGGAAACTGTGATCCAGGATTTCTGTAATAGATACGAAGCTGAACTAGATTTCCAGAATCCTATCATTCAATGATTCCATAATTTAAAATAATGCTTTTTTTTTGTAGCAATTTTCTGCTTTCAAAAATGCTTCATTCAGTTACTCCTATCAGCCCCATAACAAAAACCATGGAATTGCATGACATCATCAAGATAGTTGTCTTAGTATGTTAATCTAAAGAGCCTTCTGATACTTTGAAATGAACAATTATAATCTAAGTAAATTATACTATATATATAAACAATTATAATCTAAGTAAAAACTAAGTAATCTTAGTTTTTTAAGAATCTACAACATTCTTAGTAACTAAGTATACTGTCCTTGTCAGCTGGCTAGCTTATACTGCAATCCATGTATATGAACATCAGTTTGGGTGCCAAATTAATGATAACAAAGCCAAGGGGTCGAAAGAATTAATTTTTACCAATTAAAAAAAATACACCTGATGTTTTCATGCAAGAATTCAGAAATCAACTCACAGTCGTTCTCCTGCGTAAAGAAGAAAGTGATTATTTAATAACAGGCCAATCTATTATGGTTCATTTAAAGTTGGTCATGCAGATATTTAAATAGGTTTTAAAAACTCATTTATTTCAGTTCCACCTTTTATGAATTGGATATTTTATATTAGCACTTTTAAAATTAGTGAGTCATAGGAACTGTTGGTAGTTTATTTGTATGTGTTTAACTGCTCTAAACTTCAGATTGTTTGATTTGTTAACAGAATCTAAAGAGCCTTGGTAGTACAGGAGTTTAAGGCACCCTGTTATTAAGCTGGTTATTAAGACCAGCTGCCTGCAATTACTGCAGGGTTCGAATCTCGCCAAGGCTCAAGGTTGACTCAGCCTTCCATCCTTTCTAAGGTAGGTGAAATGAGGACCCAGTTTGTGGGGGCAATAAGCTGACTTTGTATAAATATACAAAAGGATGAAGGCTATTGCTGAGCACATTGTAAGCCGCCCTGAGTCTTCGGAGAAGGGCGGCATATAAATCAAATTTAAAAAAAAAAAAAGAACCAAATTTTGGTTTGATTCTTGACAGGCATCTTATACATCTAATGAGGGTACTATATTAAGATAGTATAATGCAACTTAGATAAAACAAAAAAGGTTCCCTTAGAGATGACATTTCAATGAAATAACAGATTGAGACAAGATTGCATTATATAACCTTTCCGTTAATGAACTGGAGATCACACGTCAGGTTGAGGGCCAGTGTCCATTATTAGCTAAAAGGAAAATTCATGCTTTGTTATTTACAGATGATGATGTTCTTCTTTCACCTATTAAATTGGACCTGATATATTGTATTGCCAAGGAAATTATACAAATTAACTATGATAAATCTAAAATTTTGGTTTTTGGAACAAAAAAGTAAAGAAGTTTATTTGGAAAATTCAAGATCATATAATAACACAAGTAGAGAATTTTACTTATTTGGCATTTTATTTAACCTTGCTCTAACTTGGCAATATCATTGTAAGGCAAAACTTTTGAAAGCAAAATCTACTAGGATGGCCTTGCTTCAGTATTTTTACTCAAAAGAAGGAAAATTGTTCCTGCAGCAATAAACATTTTTAATGCCAGAATTACATCTCAAATTTTATATTGAATTCCAGCTTGAATCACATTTACTAATACCATAGCACAGCTGCAAGTAAATTTTTAAAGGTATTTTTTAAGTGACCCAAGCTGTGATGCAAATTCTGTTAATCTCATGGAAACTGGGCAGTGCCCTTTGATAACAAAACACTGTTAAGTTTTGATTACAAGTAACATGTTTCTAAGAACAAGGAAGGATTGCTTCAGGAAATCCCACATGAATCCTTTGTAAATTTATGGTTTAAACAGGTGACTGAAACAATTAGTCAGATTGGCATTGTTCCTTATTATTTATTCTTCAGTGATATGTCATCAGCAACTCATAGTATCAGACAAAGACTATGGGATAATTCAGTACAGGACTAGACAAAGTCAAAATATTGTGTTCACCTGCAACATTTGGAATTAATCATAGATATAGTTTTCAACTCCCTAAATATTTGAATAGCTTATATTTAAATAAATACAGAATAGCTTTTTCAAAACTAGATAAAATGTATCACCATCAAGTATGCTATGTAGTAGATATCAAAAAATTTCTACTTCTCAAAGATTTTATCCCTGTAATGGTACCGATCCTGAAACAGTGGATCATATTTTGTTGTATTGTGGATTTTATACTATTCTTCAGTAAAATGTTGTCTGGTTTATTTTAAAATCTAAACTAGGAAAGGATGCTTTTGGGTATATAAAAATGTTCTTGCAGATGAAAATCATAAGATTACAGTGGCAACAGCCAGATTTTAACCATAAAACAAGGCTTTTAGTGACAAATCAGTGAGCTCAAGTCTGTTATATAATCTATTAAATATTTTACTTAATAAACAGCGTTTTATCCACTGCCAACTTTAAATTATGTTTATACATTTGGACCTTTTGGCCATAAATAAAATTGGTTATTTTATTAAGCTCTCTGATTTAAATGAAATTTAAATTTTATCGTAGTTTGTTGCTTATTTTTGCTTGAAGTGCCTAAAGATTGTTTACAGGTATATATGTAAGGCCACATATTAATAAATAGTTTCATCCTATATGCATTATAAATAGAACCACCCTGTGTGCAGTATCAGAATGGTATATTACAAGAAGCTGTAATATTTTAACCATTAGTTACGGTTAGCATGTACAAATGGTACAATTTTCTCTTTCTTCCCTCATCTAGGTTATTGCCATAGTTATGGATATATTTACAGATGTAGATATTTTCAAAGAAATTGTAGAAGCATCCACCAGAGGAATTTCAGTCTATCTTCTGCTAGACGAATCAAACTTCAGCCATTTTCTTAAGATGACAGAGAAGCAAGGTTGCCAAGTCCAAAGGCTCAGGGTAAGTCCAGATTAGAAGTGCAATGTTTAATATATTGGGAATTCAAACAAATGAATGCAAAGTTTACATTCTCTTGCTTTATAATGTAGCTTATTAGAATGTTAGATGCATATTTCATGTTTATACTGTAATTACAAACTCTAGCTCAAAACACTTATGAAGTAGTTTCATTTGTTTTGTTTTTTTCTAAACCAGTAAATATTTCTGTTAAGGTAATAATTTACTAACTGAACAGCTGCTGTAGTGCTGTAATACTGAAATGATGATGCAATGAGAATGAGTCAGTAGGGTTATTTAACTGTTATCACTTTAAGAGGCTGTTTTATAAGAGAGGCCCTGTAAGGGCATCTCTCTCTCCATGTGTGCTTAGGTGCTATAGATGATTGATTGCCTGACTTTGCCTAGTACATGTATGTATATATTCCTTATAGATAAGCCCCTGTTTGAAAGACAAACCTCTGTTTATTGTATTTTGCTCCTGGGTTGTCTCAAAATAGTCACACTGTGTGCCCTCTGACAATTTCATTCTCCCATCTTTTCTTTCTTCCACTCTCCGTCCAATTTCCTCAGTTATTTTCATCTGAACAATATGCCTTAATGTACTGTTTGGTAGACTGTGTGAACTTGTTTCAGTTTGCAAAATATACTTTAGCGCATCTGGCAGTGCGTGCATAGCACCTTTTTGCAATACCGTAAAGCATGGCATCCTTCCATATTTGTTACTTAAAGGCAATGTGGATAGGTGTTATGTTTCATTCCTACACACTGATGCAAGATTGAATCTGAAGCTTTAGGACAGCCTAAAATTTTGGATGAAAGTTCGCTTACAGAAAAAATTGCAAACCTTTCTTTGCCCACTTTAAGATAGTACAAATTATGATCTGTCGTGCATTAAAAAACAGTGAAAAACTTAAGCCATGTAACAAGGAGAAGGGGATGGTGGAATAATGGGAACAAGGCTTGTTAATAGCTATCATGGGACTACGACTTCTGGAGAGGATACTTCAATGTGATTTTCTTTCTCAAAAAAAAAAGTACTAAAACAGTTTATTTACAAAGTGTTTTCCAATTAATCTGATGAATCTGACAATTCAAATATTTAGGCAAGTAGTAACATGCTAGCTTTAACTGTGTACTAGTTGCTTAATAATGAATGCTTCATGCAGAGATAATGAAGTTTCAAATACATGAGATGTTTTATTACATTATAGATTATATTGATGAGATGATTACTACTGGAAATTGTGTGCTGTTATTAATTTCTAGCATTTTTCCCAGTGACAAGATTACAGTCTGATCCTATGCACCACTAGGAAGGAAGAATAATACTGTGTACAATACTGCTGCTATTATTACTGTTAGTAGTAATAACCAGTGGTGGGTTGCTACCGGTTCGGACCGGTTCTACCGAATAGGTAGTAACTTTAAGGATAAGGATAATTTTATTTCTATACCGCCCCTCTCCCGAAGGACTCGGGACAGTGTACAGCCAGGTAAAAACACAATACAAATATCACAATTTAAATTTAAAAATTATTAAAAGTATTACATTTAAGGCCAATTAACTAAAAAAACCCAAAATTTTAAGAACTCCGAATTTAAAACTCAATTATGAAGCTAACCCTGCCTGTCGGAAGAGGGGCCTCACCACCGCCTCCTTCAAGGCAGCAGGAAAGGTCCTCTCACTCAGAGAAGCATTTATAATCCCCTGGAGCCAGCCTCGTGTAACCTCTCGGGAGGCCAGTACCAACCAGGAGGGACACGGGTCCAATAAACGTGGCAGCACTAAGCCTACCCAGAATCCTGTCCACGTCCTGGGGAGCCACAGGGTCAAACTTTAGGAACTAGTTCTCCAAATCAGTAGTAACGGCAGCCAGGCCACGCCCCCGAACCAGTCCCCCGGTCGCTGCTCGCTCGCCCACCCGACATATCCGTCGGATGGTAAGCTGATTGAAGCAAGAAGCCTCTCAGCCTCCTGGCCACAGAGCACCGAAAAGTCCTTCAGCCGGTGAAAAGAAAGCTGCGCATGTGCAAAGATGGTGGCAGCGACCGGAGGTCTTTCCGGCGCTCTGCGCCAGTGGCTAAGTGGAAAAGAAGCCTCTTGGCTTCCAAGTTCAGCAGCAGGCTCAGTCCCTTCACAGGGTCACTGTGAAAGAAAGATCAAAAGGCACAGAGCAGCCTTTAATGACAAAGTCGCCTAGATGAGATAAAAGAAAATGAACCACTGAGGGAAGGAACCCCCCAAAGCTGCTGCCATTGCAGCCCCCCCCCTTCCCTGCAGCTTGGAGCTCCAAGCGGAAGAAGTCCTCTGTTGTGAAGAAGCAGCAGCTCTGGGTGCACCACGCCTGCTTTCTCTTTGAGAGCCACTTTGCAAGCAAGGTGCAAAGTGGCTCTCAAAGAAAACGAAGCGGGGGTGGTGCACCCAGAGCTGCCGCTTCTTTGCAACAGCCGAGGGCGGAAGAGTTCGCTCAGGAGCGATGCAGGCAAGGAAGGCGGCCGGGTCAGAGGGAGGTGTAGCCCGAGCTCTCTGGGATGGGTAAACAAATGTGGGGAGGCGAAGGGGAGTGGACTTGGGCCCCTGCGTGTTGCACCCCCTCCCAGCCTTCGTCCATGCTTCCATGCTGCCAGCATCTCCTGAAGCCTCTGCCGTTGGAGCCGCGATAGGGACTAGGGCAGCCCGGTAGCAGCCATGAGCCATGCGTTCCTCTAAGCGCTGTGGGCGGCAGAGGGAAACAGGTGCTTCTCTCTGCACAGAGCTTTCCGGGACTGAGACTTGGAGGAAAGCGCAGCTCATGGCTGCTAAATTTCACTGTGCTGTGCCAAATGAGCAACGGAGAGAAACAGCCACTGACCTGGAGAACACGTAGGCTGGAGCAGCTCTGTGTGCTCTCCACTGGCTGTTTCTTCCTATTAGCTAGTGCAGCACAGCGAAAGTTGATAAACCTAAAGTTTATGCCAACCTAAAGTTGATAAACATACCCTGTGTTATATAATTAAATTATTTAATAGCAGAATCTGCAAAAATTCCAAAACAAAATATTTTATTTATTTATTTTGAATTTGTATACCGCCCTTCTCCCTGAGGACTCAGGGCGGTGAACAGCCAAGTAAAAACATCAAGTACAAATATTAAAATACAGTTAAAATATACATATATAAATTTGGCCCCATTAATTAAAAACAATAAACAAAACACTTAAAAACACTTAAAAAATTAGGCCAGCCCGGCTTGCTGGAAAAGGAAGGTTTTAAGGGCACGGCGGAAGGCACTGAGGTCTTGGATTCTCCTTATCTCTGGAGGCAATTGATTCCAGAGGGTAGGTGCCCCCACAGAGAAGGCCCTCCCCCTGGGGGTCACCAGCCTGCACTGTTTGGCTGATGGCACAAAATATTCCAGTTCATGTTACATATTGAATGTGTAGTGGTCTCAATTGTTTTTTCCCCAAAGTATAGCAAGAAGATGATTAAAATTGATGTATTTAAATTGATGATTAAAATTGATGTATTTATATTCTATTTTGGAGTATTTCTTCCATGGACGGGTAGTCACACATGTGTGAGAGTGATGGCTGAACAAACCTATCAGATTATGGAACTTTTTTTAAGTCCATCATATATTGAGAAGTAAATTCTTCTACTATGAGCTTTTCCATTGTTTATACTCTATTGCAAGTCAGTTTTGTCCCTGGAAGAAAACAAAGAGTAAATTCAACCAAATACCCATAGGAGCTTTTATTAAGGAGTGTTGTTTCTAGTTGCGAAGTCGTGTCCGACCCATCGCAACCCCATGGACCGCATTACTCCAGGCCTTCCTGTCCTCTACCATCCTCTGAAGTCCATTTAAACTCATACCTACTGCTTCAGTGACTCCATCCAGCCACCTCGTCCTCTGTCATCCCGGTTCTTCTTTTGCCCTCAATCTTTCCCAGCATTAGGCTCTTCTCCAGTGAGTCTTTCCTTCTCATTAGGTGGCCAAAGTATTTGAGTTTCATCTTCAGGATCTGGCCTTCTAAAGAGCAGTCAGGGTTGATCTCCTCTAGGACTGACCGGTTTGATCACCTTGCAGTCCAAGGGACTCGCAGGAGTCTTCTCCAGCACCATAGTTCAAAGGCCTCAATTCTTTGGCGCTCAGCCTTTCTTATGGTCCAACTTTCACAGCCATACATTGCAACTGGGAAAACCATAGCTTTGACTATACGCACTTTTGTTGGCAGGGTGATGTCTCTGCTTTTTAGTACGCTGTCTAACTTTGCCATAGCTTTCCTCCCCAGGAGCAAGCGTCTTTTAATTTCTTGGCTGCAGTCCCTATCTGAGGTGATCTTGGAGCCCAGGAAAATAAAATCTGTCACTACCTCCATTTCTTCCCCATCTATTTGCCAGGAATTGAGAAGGCCAGATGCCATGATCTTAGTTTTCTTAATGTTGAGTTTCAAGCCAACTTTTGCACTCTCCTTCTTCACCTGCATCAAGAGGCTCTTTAGTTCCTCTTCGCTTTCTGCCATTAGAGTAGTATCATCTGCATATCTGAGGTTGTTGATATTTCTCCCAGCAATCTTAATTCCAATTTTTGATTCATCTAGCCCCGCCTTTCCCATGATGTGCTCTGCATATAAATTAAATAGGCAGGGTGACAGTATACAACCTTGCCGGACTGCTTTCCCAATTTTGAACCAATCAGTGGTTCCGTGTCCAGTTCTCACTGTTGCTTCTTGACCCGCATATAGGTTTCTCAAGAGACAAATAAGATGGTCTGGTACTCCCATTTCTTTAAGAACTTGCCACAATTTGTTGTGATCCACACAATCAAAGGCTTTAGCAGAGTCAATGAAGCAGAAGTAGATGTTTTTCTGGAACTCCCTAGCTTTCTTCATGATCCAGCGTATGTTGGCAATTTGATCTCTAGTTCCTCTGCCTCTTCGAAATCCTGCCTGTACTTCTGGTAGTTCTTGATCCACATACTGCTGGAGCCTAGTTTGTAGGATTTTAAGCATAACCTTACTAGCATGAGAAATGAGTGCAATGGTGCGATAGTTTGAACATTCTTTGGCATTGCCTTTCTTTGGAATTGGAATGTAAACTGACCTTTTCCAATCCTGTGGCCACTTTGAGTTTTCCAAATTTGCTGGCAAATTGAGCGTAGCACCTTTAGTGCATCATCTTTTAATTAATTAAGGAGTATTTTAATTAATTTAATTTAATTAATTAAGGAGTACTTTGTGGCAATAAGAGCAGCAGCATGTATTTATATTTCCATTCTCATTGCATCTGCAGATTATTGACTGGTAGCCTTCTTTAAGGCGACTTGATCCCTCTTAGGTAAGGAGGAGCCAGGGCAACCTTTGCAATGTCACTATGAGAATTAAACTGTTGGATAAAGTCACTCAGAGTTGGATTCTGGCTGTTCAGATCCGATGGAGTTGTCTGAGATATGAACTTGCTTGGTTAGCTGGGAAGAGCTCGAGTCTGTCAGTTCTTGGGATAGAGAACTTGGTGTCTCTGAGTTCTGCCACCTGTGTTCTAGATCTTTGTTTCTCTAGATTGACTAGGCCTCCCAGAAGATGACATGTAGGTAGATGCATGTGGTGGTGGATGCTTCTTTGAATTGGGATGTTCCACCTGCTTTGAAGAAGGTGGCGATTTGCCCTCTCAAGAATTTTTGTCATCTTTGTGGCCAATTTGATATCTGCTACCAGCATTATTATGTAATGCCGTGACTGCTAGATGCTTCACATCTGTCTGAAAGATTATATATGGAAACCATTTTCTGCATGCACGTACTTCTGGCTAAATGAATATTGAAATAATTTGTGCATGTAATAAAAGAACTTAAAATAATCTGTATTCCTACACTCGTTCACTAGGCGATACGGTTTACTGAATTCATTTAAAGATGTCTCAGGGAAAGAAAATACATGACTAAGTGTGTGGTGTATAATGTACTCTTAAAATGCAATTTTATGCAAACCTGCTTAGTATTAAGCCTCTGGGGAGTTACTACTAAGTAAATACACTTGGGATGCAGCTTCAGTAATACAACATTCTAGTTTTTATGTTATGTTTTGCCTTGTTTTGCAGAACATGAGAGTACGTACTGTAAAAGGACAAGATTATTTCTCCAAGTCAGGGGCAAAATTTCATGGAAAAATGGAGCAAAAGTTTCTTCTTGTTGACTGTAAGAAAGTTATGTATGGTACCTACAGGTAAGAATTTATACACTTATTTATTTTCAGTATAAATGAAAATACTATATTTCTTTCTGTTATTCTGATTGAGGATAATACAACTTCTGTCAGTTAAAAGCTACCCAAACTATAGTGTAGCACCATGATGGCGAACCTACGGCACAGTTGCCAGAAGTGGCACACAGAGCCATCTCTCTGGGCACGCCAGCTGTCACCTGTTGCTCTTCCAGTTTCTAGTGTGCGCATGTGCACCATCCAGCTGCTTTTCACGCACACATATGTGGCAGAAACTGGAAGACCAGGTGACCAGTGCACATGTGCATGCCAGAAACAGGAACCTCAGCTTCCTGGCGCGCGCATGCATGCCGGAGAGCTGCTCTTCCTGCTCAGTTTCTGGTGCTTCCTTGTGCATACGCATGTGCTCCGGTTTCAGCACTCGGTGCCAAAAAGATTCGCCAACATTGGTGTAGCATGTTGAGGACAAGGACAGGATTTATTTGGGATGTAGGTTTCAGAGCTTAAAGACACTAATGAGTGAAGTGTTGACTTTTCTTGGGGGGAGTGAAGGGAAGTCGGATTGTGTTTTCTTGCAGATGTTTCATTACCCAACAAGTGCCATCAGAACTATAAGGGAATGGAGGTTGCTTTCTGTTTATATATACAGATGGTTTGCCCTGTCAGTGTTGGTGGGAGTGTTCCACAACCTTCTAGTACTGATGATGTTACCTAGTTGAGTAATGAAATGCAAGAAAACAACCAAGCTTAGAGAGCACCAAGGACCCCACAGTTCAACCCTGAGCTATAAATATCTTCTTTTATTGGAAGTCAGATGGATGAAATTAGCATTGCAGTGTCGTAATGCAAACCCTACCCTTTTTACCCTTTCACCCCAGTCCAGTAATATCATCCATATCACTACCTAAGCCCACTGTCCTTAAGAGGCAGGACAGTGGGGGGAGAGAGACAGAAGAATTAAAAACACAAGATTTCTGACATGATTTCCAACCGTATTTCAATTTTGTACAACTTTAGTGTGTATTTTAGGGCAAGTAGTCTTTTTGCCTAACATAATATCTCTGTTTAATAGGTGATAATTCATAGAGGGTAAATGGTGACAATTAATACCTGTGAATCTAATTAACAGGCATTGTTTAGAAAGTTCAGAGTGGCTGTCCTGGGATGTTCTACTCTCCAATGGCAGAACTGATCAAGTGCATTATCTGTTTTTCTTTGGTGGTTGCTCAGCATTGGATGTCCCCAACTTAGGTGTTTAATCCTATAGTTGTCATCTGGAACTATTTGGAAGAAGGAAGTTCATATACATAAGAAGCAAACGATAAATGAATATATACGGTACCTTTGAATTGTCCTTGGCCTCTGGCAACTGCTTGGACATGTTCCTGCAGTTATTTTAGCAACATTTTCAGAGGTGGTTTGCCATTGTCTCATTCCTAGGGCTGAGAGAAAGGACAGGCCCAAAGTCATCCAGCCAGGGTGGAAATGTTACAGTCTGGTCTTTAAAGTGATTCCTAGAACATTGCACTGATTAATCAAAATAAAAACTGTCCTCCCCCCCCCCTCAGGATCCCAGTATAATGAGAAAAAGGAATAAAAAAAGATTTTTAAAAACAGTGAAAAATAGCCCTTCCTGTTATTTAATTCCATTGTTCCATGTCCCACATTTTGAAACTGAACACATTTTAATTTTATATGTAATATTTATTCATGTATTTTAAGGCTGTTTTTATATACTTGCCATTGCCTTAGCTCAAGGCCAAACACACATTTATTCCATCCATAATGCAGCTCAAAGGAATTTGTTATCTTTGTAATACCATACAAGGATCCTTTGATAATACTTTGTGCAAATGGAAACAATTAAAACGTTAACAGGGGAAATAAATTTATGCCAATGCTATATAATTATGCATTATATCTATAACATACGCCCAAGTTTAGATTTTGTACCAACACTGCTGGCCTTTTCAAAAGCATTGAAGACCTGGATGTGTTCCTGAGTGTGAGGGTTGTGAGGTTGTTGTTTAATTTGTTATAGATTGTTTTTACCTTGGTGGTCATTATATATATTTTAGCTTTTATGCTCTTAATATATTTTCATATGTTTTTAACCACCCAGAATCTCTGTGTTAGAGACGGGCAGCCACATGAATCAAACAGGCAAACAAACAAAATTAATACATCACATTATTGTTCAGATCTGTCATTCTTAATTTGCTGCTGCTTTTGAAACATTTCTATATGGCAGAGAGACAGTAATTGTGGGGGAATTTAAAAGTCAATATAGCTGTCACAGATATGTGATCAAAATCTTATCCTTCCTGTATTTATGTGGCACACATGTACAAAGTGATACGGCTTCAGTTTCTCTGTCATGACTCTCATCTTGACTTTTATGACCTCCCCATGCAGAGAAGAGAAAGTGAACAAGATTTCTTCAAGTTTTTTCCAAATAGTATTAAGGCTGGGCAAGCTTCAAAAACTGATGTGCAAATAGTGCTTCAGATTTCAAGTTGTCAGCCTAAGGTTAAAATAGCTAAAATGTCTTTTTCAGGCATTATTTAAGGAGTGAACTTCCAATACAGGAGCCCCCTTTTTTAGAATTTGACAGTTTTAATTAGTAATAAAGAGATATTGTTGTTAGGCTTCCATGCAAGTCATACTGAGTGCATATTGCCTAATTGATGCATCAGAGCTGGATTGCGGGGGAAAATGTCAATTATTGGTTTGCAGTGCTAACTATATTAAGTAGTTAGGCTAAAACCATTATTTTTAGAATTCTGTCTCACAACTAAATTATAGAAGTAATGTTGGAGCAATTTATACACTTGTTAAATAATTCAGGCAAATTAATTGCGGAACAGGTTAGATGTAACCTAACAAAATGCTTAGATGTAACCTAACAAAATGCCAATTTTGCTAGAGCTTCCTTTTGGAAAATATAATTGAAGTTTTCATGATAACTATAATTATCTATCCCATGTACTCTTGATAGTTCTTTAGAGTACTTGAAATATATTATCTCTGAATGATCATTATATCCATTGTACATTCCATATTTTTATCAACATGATTTTTTTCATGTTAACATCTGAACTATATTTTAGCCTCTTGTTTTATCAGAAATATCTTTTTCAGATTGCTGTTTTGGGTTCTTTAATAACTTTCCTTTGGAGATTTTGATCTCTGAATGTAATAGTTACAAAACAAAACCCTGTCACAAATATATCACATTTTATCTATTCCTGATTTAAATGGTTAATTATCTTCTTCTTTTTTTTTAAACTTTCAGCTTTATGTGGTCATTTGAAAAAGCCAATCTCAGTATGGTCCAGATAATCACAGGACAGCTTGTTGAATCATTTGATGAAGAATTTAGGACACTGTATGCCCGTTCTTCTGTTCCCAGTTCATTTGCTCCAGAATTAGTTAGAATCAATAGCTGCCGAGCACTCTGGGAAAATGAAGCCTATCAGCACTCACGTTCTTCTTTAGCTTCTATTTCCAGTCAGCGTAACCTTTCTGGGTGGCAAGACAAAATTCATAATTTAGATCCCACCATTCTGAACACACGACATACTGCTAGGTATGGAATAAATGAAAACGACCAGTTCAATCCTAGAAATCATCTACTTCACAAACCCCCATTTGCTCCAGGTTTCCATATGCAGAATAGAATACAGCAATATCAGCCCAATGATGTAAATGAACATTGGAAAAGGCACAGTTATGCAGGGGAGAAGCCAGAAAGGACTCCTTATTTGATGCTCAATAGAACAACTAATAGAGCAAATAATCCGTCAAATCTTTGGAAAGTACCCTCCGATAGCCTCAGTATTGTATCTTCATTGCACGGGAGCCATATCAATCACAAGGTGCCTCAACAGAGCTTAGCTGACCGATTTCCACCGCCAAAGCTCAATATCGCGGACAGGAACTCAATTGTACGGAGATCTTTCAACGGCACTGACAGCCATATCCGTTTTCTCCAACAGAGAATGCCAACCCTTGAGCGCACCACAAAATCTTTCCTACGCAACTGGCGCATTGAATCATATTTAAACGATCAGTCAGATTTCCCGGCAGATTCAAACGGTTCAGGGTTAGGAGATAGGGCCGAGAGTTATGATGCAGCAGATAATATCAAAGCCCATGCCCTTTATGCCCATTCTCGGCTTCGCTCCTCGTTTGTTTTCAAGCCCACATTGCCAGAACAGAAAGAAGTAAACAGCTGTGCAAGTTCTTCCAATTCAACAATCATTGGTTCGGAGGGCAGTGAAACCCCTAAAGCAACCCCCAATCATATCCTTAAACAGAAAGATGAAACTGATGGCACTAAGGCCGAACCAAGCCCTAACATCCCGCTGGAGCCTGATATAGTAAAAAACCATACCTTGCAGATTTCAGAAGATATAAAGCCAAGTGCAGCATTACCTGTGGCGAAGGAGAAACCTCCTTATATGTATTCATCTCTAAACAGAAGCAAGCCAGGAGAATTTCGAAAGAATCATCAAAATGAAAATATATTGAAAAGGCGAAGTTTTCCTATATTCGATCATTCAAATTCTATTATGGATCATGGTGACAGCAAAGAGGCATCCAGTTATATTTACAGTACATTAAATAGGAATAGATTTAAGCATCCAAAGCCACCTCTGGAAGATAGCTGTAAAAATTCGAAAAGCTTGCACAGTATGGCAAATCATGTATCAGATAAGGATAAAAACCACGAAGTTGAACCAAAGGAGTCACCTACTGCCAAGGCTGTTTCTATAGCACTAGTTGAATCTAGCAAAGAAGAGCCTAATAAAGATGCCTCATCAAAGAAAGAAAATAAGAATTCCCCAAACTTCCTGAAAAAGGGATCACAGAAACTAAGGTCTTTGTTAAACCTTACACCAGAAAAGAAGGAAAATTTGTCCAAAAACAAAACTCCTGCTTTTTATAGAATGTGTAGCAGTTCTGACACTTTGACATCAGAATGTGATGAAAATCAAAAACCCAAAACCTCTGAAACGAAGATGGATTGTTCTCCAAGAAGGAAAAGAACCTCTTCATCAAATTCACAAGGGAGCCTACATAAGAGTAAAGAAGATATTGCCATCAGGCCTAAATCACCCAAATCTCCTAAACCTCCCAAGTCTCCCAAGCCCCCCAAATCTCCCAGACCTCCAAAAGCTCCATCCGATGACAATGCTAAAAGAGGGCCTACCGTGAAACCCTTGGAAAGCATCCTGTTAGAAGTACCTCCTGGTGACCCATCAGCCCCCAGATTTAATACAGAACAAATTCAGTACCAAGATGTTAGAGAGTTGCGTGCCAATGCAAACCGTGAGCGAGTAGCCCAGCCTGCTCCACAAGCAATCCCTCCACAAAGGATGGGTGGCCCAAGCTCTCGCTTGCCCAGCCCAAAGCCTCACGAGGAGCTCATAAGGCCTCGCTTCACTGAAAGGCGGGTTTACAGTCGCTTTGAACCATTCTGCAAAATGGAAAACTCGGCTCAGCCAATGAGCAACGCAACCAAAGCCAGCGGTCATTTGCCAGAGGGAAATAGCAAGACCACCCATAATAATTATGGAAGGAGCAATCAAGTGCTTACTTACAATCCTGGTTTATACCACCCATTGCATCCAAATGAAAACAAATTTAGAGGAATTATGCAAAAGTTTGGGAATTTTTTGTATAAAAACAAGTGAAACCTGTTTGTGGGGGTCTTCTAAAAACCTTTCAGTGTTGTAAATACCTAACAAATTAGACTGATGGGCAGCTTTCATAAAGCTTAATGGTATAGTTATTGCAGAACACTGCCATATATGTATATAATAAGCATTCCAAAACATTGGCTGGATGGAAGTTTTGGAATTGGGTTTTTATGTATTTGTACATTAAATTTGAGATTTGCTCAAATTCACTTTGATGCTTCATATTTTAAAAATAATAATAAAAAATATGACATAACAAGCCAAAGAAAACATTTGAACTCCAGTCACAAAAAGACCATTTATTTCACAATATTTCTCCCTTTTTCATAATAAATCCTCATTTGTTACTCATCACACAGTCTATCTGCTTTTTAGTTTTTCCTTCTCTAAAGGAAATATGTAACATTGTACATAATATATATTTTTTTATTGGAAGTGCAGAATTATTCTCATTTATCTCCAATTTTCAGTAGCAACCACATGTACATCATGTGCAAACTCAGCAATTATGGGTTAGTTTTATGTATGAATCAAGCCACCATGACTTTTGCCACAAATCGTTAAAAATATGCCTTAATATTTTAAGTAAATACTGCTGGCTTGGGTGCTCAGGAAATTGCCGTGGGCTTGCCATTTTATCTTTTCGTGCATGTATATTCCCTATTTCCTGATTTTTTTCTAACTATACTTGCCACTTTGGGAACTAATAACTTCTAATGCCTCATAACATGGCTTACAAGTTTCAAAATAGGAAGTTAGGAAAGAAATCCATATGCAAAGAGGAGGTAACTTCCAACTCATCTCCAAACAAGATTCTTAGACAATTGTTTTATTAAAATCTGGATATGGTGCTACGTATTTAATTACTCTCATTGTTTTTTCAGTATTTACATATTTTATGCAGCAAAAGGCAGAGTTGTTTTATCTTCTACAACCCCACAGTCATAAGACACATATGCTACCTGTAATGGATGACCCAAAATCTCTGTCTTCTTAATGAATTAGTGATGCTGTTGCTGCTATCAGATTCTTGAAAAGTCCTGGTTTTAGAAAGTGTCACAAGCATAGACTTTTTTCTGCTTCTATAATGACACCTTTTTATAATCACTGGGCCTTGCAAAAATAAACTGTTTTAGAAAATGAGTCTTAATTTAAAGCATGTGAGACCTCTAAGGATATAAGACAAGCCAGGATGCTGGATGCTTTGGCAACATAAGCAGGCAAGGGTTGGTTTTTACCATAATAATCTCAACTCCACTGAGGTTTTTATATGTGTCTGTGTCCATGAATGTGAATGTCAAGTTCAGTATTCAAATATGAGTAAACCTTACATACATATGTAGATCTGCAATGTGTGCAGATGGATGATTTATAGCAAAGATTGTAATCACAAGGTCCACCGATGAGTTAGTTGAAACAAACAAACTTAAATTTTTAATATGGCATGTTACACTTTCACAGAATCATTAAATACAAGGTCTTCAATACCTCAGAGCTTAAATGTTAACAACTTACATATTGTTTAACAACTTACATATTTACATTAAAATATTTTATAATTAAAGTATTTTCTTTAATCCAATACTACGTCAATATTGATACTGTTCCTCTGAAGTTCTAAAGCACATGGGAGAAAAACCTTCATATAAGTTCCTGATTAAAAAAGCCAGATTTTTCTTAATAAATGGTATGCTGCCAGCCATTCCCGTGTTAATCTTCCAGACCAGTGTCCCTTAGGATTGCATTATATTCAAAAGTGCCCTAATAAATTTTATGCTAATTTAAAAATTGTTTTCCTTTTCATTTTACAATGGTCCAAATGCCAAAAGAGACTTTTCTGTTTCTAAAACAAAAAACCAGATTGAATTACTTCATTTGGGATACCATCACAGTGTATCATTTTAGTGGGCATGCAGTGGGAAAGCTGTTAAAGAATCACAAATGAAATCCCAAGAAATGGAAGTGAAAATGATTCATTACCTTTTTAAAAAAAAAACAAATCAAATTACATTGTGATGGGAAGAAGAAGATGCATAGGTGGTGCCACCCTCCTTATTCTAGATCTTTCGGCGGCTTTTTGACCATAATACTTTCTGGACCCCCTGCGAGGGTTAGGAGTTGGGGGACATGGTTACGCTGGTTTTGCTCCTACCTTAGCGATCAGGTCAAGAATGGTTGAGAGGGCATTTTATTATGCAGTGCCCAATGATTCTGGCCTTTATGCCATCTTGATTAACATAAACATAAAACTTAATTTTATTGGTCTTATTTACATTCTGCCTTCATTACTTTTATTTATAATAAAATATATGCTATAATAATGCAACAAACATCTAATATTCTTTCTTCCTCCTATTTTCCTCACAACCACCCTGTGAGGTGAGTTAGGCTGAGAGAGTGACTGGCCCAAAGACAGCTAGCCAACTTTCATGGCTAAGGCTAGAGTTGAAATCACAATCTCCTGATTTCTAGCCTGATTTCTTAACCACTAGACCAAACTGGCTTTTATAACTTGCTCTACATGGGACTGCATTTGGAGACCACCTGGTCCAGAATACAGCAGAACCTGTAGAATCTGCTTAGGTTCCCAATGGTGCACTTCAAGGTACTGGTTTCAGCCATTTAAAAAATCCTCACAGTATCTTGGAGATCACCTTTCCCCCAATAGTTTTTGGGCATCCTTTTCACCTACCATGAGTTATAGTGATGGGAGGTCTGAATATCAGCATTCTCTGTAGCAGCTCCTCACCTTTGGAAAAGCTTGTCCTGAAGCAAGGATGGGCCCCATCCTCCAGGCTTCCTGGTAGCAGGTAAAATCGGGACTCTTCCAGAAAACCTTTGGTGATTAATTATAGCCAGTGTCACCATCCTGAGCAACTTTCGTTCACCATTTTCAATATTCGGAAATTAACATTTGGATTTTACTATTTAAAGTAATTACTTAATTTCAAGGAATCCTGACTTTTCTATTATATGCTTACACTACATTCTGTAAGTACCTGGAGTCCATTAGGTTTCTAGAAGGCTGTAGATCAGGGGTCTCTAAACCTTGGCAACTTTAAGCCTGGAGGACTTCAACTCCCAGAATTCCCAGCAAAGTTGGTTGGGGAATTCTGGGAGTTGAAGCCCACCAGGCTTAAAGTTGCCAAGGTTGGAGACCCCTGCTGTAGAGGTATTAATAGATCATAATAAAAAAGATGAATAAGTTGCAGTACTAGAATTTGGTGATGGAAATTAGGTGGTAAATGAATTTGTTTGATTTATCACAATGATTTGGAGTCATGCCTCCAACCCAGGATTAATAATGCTGCTGTTATGGTTGGTTGCATAGTTAGCCGGTTGTTTATGCCTTACAGCAGTTGCATCTGCTGGCTTCCACAGATGTTTGATATTCAGAGATTAGACCACTCTTCCAATAGTTATTGCTGCCTAAGAAACATTTTACACCAAGGCATGCATCTTTGCAAGCATAACTTAACTGCATGCACACAGAGCTCTGTTTTATTATTCCGTTGTCAGAACTCCCAAGGTGAAAATAAAAGGGTAATAAAACCAGTTGCTTTTCGTCTGATTCAGCATTTTTCCTGATTCGTAGGCTCAGGAAAGGTTAGGAATATGCCTGCTAGCTACAGAAACCATGATATAAAGCATAAAACCAAATGTCGGTGAGTGAGGCAAGCTTTAAATTCAACCTCCATGTCAGAAATGCTCTTAAGAAAAATAAATACATGCATGAATGTTCTATGTTGTTGACATCTCTCTTCCCAGAAATCTCTTTACAGATAATCCTCGACTTACAAGAGTTTGTTTAGTGACATAATGGCACTGAAAGCAGTGATTTACGACCGTTTTTCACACTTACAGGGCTATTATTTGCCTTGGCCTAACTTTGTAACAATCTCAAAATGACACTAAAACCGTTCCCTCTAAAGGAGGGCAGAGGAATGTCCAGGGCATAGCTTGTTCCATTGAAATAATGCCTCTATCAGGGCATCAGCGGAATAATGCCTGATCGTGCTTGATGCTGCAAATACCTGTGTAGAATTTTGCAGGAATTGCACCAAAGAGCACTTGTTTTATCTTCTGTGAGATTCACCTAAATACCCACTTAAAACATACATAGTAAGTAAAAGGAACAGCAGATTTTTTTTTCTTTTTCTGAAATGTTTCTGATGTCAAAATGCCTGTTGCAAAGAAACTTCTAACAAATCACATAAGCCCACAAGGCAAAAGGGATGTCTACATTTATTTATTTAAAATTTATTAGCCACCCAACTCCTATGGATATGCCACACTGAATGAATGGGTTTCCCATATAAAGCAATACAAATGCAATCCATATATTTAGTGTTACGCTGTTGTACGCTATGTTCTGCATAATGTGCAGCAACTATACAGACTCTACCAGAAATTTCTCCAAGATAAAGGCGGAGGAATCCGGGCAAGGTTTTTTTTTTTTTTTTAATGGTTGCAGATTTCCATACCAGTTATTTTCAGAAGGAACAAAGGAAGTACAGTTATGTGTATGCAACGGCATGTACCTTTCTATAGCATATGTAGAGCATTAGCTAGTGTGTAAGAGAATAGTTTCTATGTACAGGAGGGGTCAAGTTTATAAACGAACAACTTATTTTATGGTATCTAATTTCAGTCCAAAGGAGGAAGTATTACTTCCTCTTCCTGATCTTCTTTAGAATATGGCTTCTAGGGAACTATATATACAAACATGTCTATAGAGACTCAAATAGGAGACATGCATTGGGTTGGTAATCCAATACAAAGAAGGTAATCATTGTCCAGAGTTTCAGTTCCTCCCTCCCTCCTCCTCCTCCTGCCCCTTTTTTTTATTGTAGCCAGGAATAAATATAGATGGTTTTCTGGTAAATAGAGGACAGCCATAGACTTACACATAAAATCTATTTGCATCCTCATTTCGTATGACCAGCAGTGAAACAGGCATTGTTGAAAAACACCCCTCAAGAGATCTAATTCAATGCTTGCACTGCAAAAGTAAAAGGTATTTTTGCAAAACATGCCAGCAAGTCTCTATCACACAAAATAAGAGAAATATAGAAAACTGCTTTCCTTGCAACTGCAAGTTCTCCATCCTGTTCCTAGCCAAGAAAAGCTTTTGTAATGCCACTCCCATCCAAGACAGCGACAAACCTGTTTATTGGCATGACTATATCTAGTTAAGGAAACTCCCTGCTGAGTCATCAAAACTGCAATACGCACAGTTCAAAAGGATGCTTCAGTCACAAGAATGTTAACGCCAGCTTCCAAAACCCCTCCATTATACAATAAAAGTCTTCTGTATTTTACTGAAAACTGCTGGAAAGTTACAGCTCTGTCTG